CCCCAAAACCCCAAAACCCCAAAACCCCGTACTTTAATATCAAATTTCAATGTTTAGATCATCAATATATTTAGTAAATATATTTCATTCATAAATCTTGGCATAATCACTGTTATCGTTCAAGCAATATAATGACTCTCTCTCTCAGTATAAAATATTAGTTTCCTGAACAATTTCTGGTAGACAACTATATCCACCGCCAAAAGCTTCACTAGCAATTTCGGAATTTCCTTCTACAATTCTAAAAAATCCTCCATTTTCACCCCAGGTAGTGCCCCAAGAATTTTAAACCTCCCAGTACTTCACACCATCTTCATTTTCTCCCCAGCCAACAAGTAGTATAGCATGTGCTCCAATTAAATCTCCACTATCCCAGGTATATATTCCAGAGTGATAAGTGATAAGGTCTTCGAATATTACCATTGAAGATGCAACTGGACCATGTGTAAGAATCTCAGATTTAATCTCATCAATAGTAAGGTATTGGTGATTAGAGTCTTTCTAGCATTTGACTCTATAACTAGGCTTTAGATCTAAGCTGACACATTTTGAGGGGCATTAGTCTAGAGTTTCATTTTTATAACCGATGCATTCATTAGTGATTATTGATTCATCATTTAGGTACTCAAGTACTTGAGAAATAACTCCCCCTCTACATCCATCAGCAAAAGGATCACATGTCATAATATAGGCTGGTGCAAGTGGAACAGCTTTCTCTTGTTTTGTATTAATACATAATCTCTCTGCCAACATAGCTGAAGTAGCATAGGCGTAGCAACTTCCACACTCACCTTGATCTAGGGAGGGAACCATGCATTCAGGTCTTTCAGATCTCCATGAGAACGTTTTAGGAAGATCTGGATGAAGTGGGGAAGCTCCTAATCTAAACCTGTTGTTGTGATGATAAAAATTTTCTTAGGGCAAGTGCTTTAATTTCATCATCCCTTTGAGTTGCTCGATTGAATGCTTTGAGTACTTGGTTTCTCCTTTGGTCCATAGTATTTGCTTTTCCTCTACTTTCAAGAAATCTTAAGATAGTACTATTGTAGCAAAGACTGAGAATGTAATTAATTGCTTTGTCCTCATTTATAATATAATATTATATATAATCTTTATAATATCTCAAATATCATAATTATAATCAAGTTGGGCTTTGGGGTTTTGGGGTTTTGGGG